CATTGGCCTAGGTTTATACGTAAAACATGAATTTAAATAAAGTCGGAGCGACCTGGAGCTGAGGCCTTTGAATTGAAACCACTCTGCTCTCCACCATATTTCTTCCACTCCACCGCTAGATCCACACTCCGCTCACATGCTCTAGCTGCAGTTACACTCATTTCTGTTGACTGCATATTATTCTTTGTGTAGAACCTTAGCAACAAACCAAATTTCTTGCATTTAGGGCAATTTCTAGAAAGTGAGAGATGAGCCACAACGCCATGGTCTCTATTTTAGACTTGGACAGATTTATTTGTTTTATATTATATTTAGTAATTGGTCTACTGTCCTCCCTTCACCTTTGGTAATGACCAACAGGGAGGGGCTTAGGGGAGAGCTGCTGCTTCTTCCCTTCAAGAAAAATCAGTTAAGGTGGCTTGGGCATCTGTTTTGGATACCCCCTAAATGGCGCGCTAGAGTGCTTCAGGTACATTTCACTTAAAGGGGTAGGAAGCGGAGAAGCTGGAGGAGATGCCTAGAGAGAAGGGGAAGACTGGATCTCTGCTGAGACTCCTTCTTTTCACAACCCACTTCTAGGTAAAGTGGAGTCACACAACCAACTTGTTCCAATTAAGAAAAAAAGTTCCTCTTATTTAATAGTAAGTCAACTTTAATTAACATTTTATTTGGAAAGCCAACTTCATTACTGACACACAGATACGTAGAATGAAGAAACAGGTTAAATGTAATCTGTAAAACAACAAAAGTAGGTTAAGAGATTAAAAAGGCACCACATCGACTCCACATTCCAATCTCAATAGATTCAAGTAATCTGGAAAGGATTACAAAGCCATTTCTGACACAGCTGGACTCCTGTGATTACCCACTAAGGGCTAAGAAATGGAACGGTGGCGATCCTTCTCAGGAGAGACCAGCCTACCAAGAATGCTCCAAGAGTGCTTTGAAGAATCATCCAAGAGGTCCAAACAAACACATTTGAAGCAGAACTGATCTCAGTTAAGATCAGTGTTCACGATTCACAAATCAGAAAGAGAGATTGAAAAAATGGGCTGAGTTCAATGAAAACCATCGCTGTCTGAAAACGAGAAAAATAAGGAAAAAATGAAACATTTTAATGGGAAAAGTAATCCACATGCACACGACCTTACATCTGGTGTAAATCCAAGACAACATCTAATTCTGGGGCCTTTTGGGGCTCAATCCTCAGCTGTAATTGATGGTAACAGGAATTGTGGTCCACAGAAAATCTTGAAGGAGAATGTCTAGCCATCAGAATGTGACCAAAAACTCAAGATCAATTTGATTACGCAGCAGGAAAATAATCTGAAGCCCACTAAGCAAGTCCACCACAGAACGGCACAGAGTGAAGAAGGTTTTAAAGGTAAAGGTTAGACTTTGTTTGTTTCCTACTCACATTGCAGTCATGTTGTTTTCTGGATTGAGAGGGATGTCCAGGAGTTTGGTCCCTGCCTGGACGCTTTCATGGCTGGCAGTACCGACCATCTTCCCAGTGACCCTACAAATGAGACAGGTTTGACAGAAAGGTGTCCTAAACATAGATATTTCTGCAGTACATGATCATGAACATTCAAAGTATTTCCAAAAAATGAAAGAAAATTAAAAACAATCCACTGGACTTTGTTTCCAAGTTTGAAGACGTTTCGCTTTCAGTCCAGGAAGCTTTTTCAATTCAAAATGTCAGGAATAGCGTTGAGTTTGAGGTTTTATACAGTAGCCCAAGAAAGCCTTGTTTTTGTTTTGAAAACATGCAAATTGGAACAGACGAAGCAGTTCACCCCTTTGGAATGGGGGTCGTTTGGCTACTTTTGTTAGCCTGCAAAACACCATACCTGTCTAAGTGTCTGAAAGGGGGGTCATTAAAGGGAATTGTTGGCCTGGTTTATATTATATTATAACACTTAATCAGTGTTATGCTTTTACTGTTATGTTCATTAGGAAACAGTCATGCTTTACTGGGTAAAAAATAAAACACTCTAAATTTCTATCATTTAGGGTAATTAACAGTCATTCTTAATCACCGACAGCGCTTCGACCCCAACCAGGTCAGTTATTGGATGCAGGCGGAGATTTTTTATTTTTAATTAAGTAACAATTATTACCAAATATATATATTTTTACTTAAGAAAATGTACATACACACAAAATAGTTGTCTTTCTGCTGCAGATTCTTGCTCAGCAACAGAATTCTTTGCACCCAAATCTAAATTAAAGGTATAGAGGAAAATCTTTTATTTCCAGGTGGATCATCTAAATAAGTGGTCCTCCTAATTGTCAATCATTCCGGCTGATGTTTACATAAGGCCATCCTAGGTGCTCATCCTGCCAGCTATTTTTTTCTGCACATGCACACTTTCAGGCATATATGTGTGGTGAGCTATGGTTTCAGACAGTCATTGAAGCTCACCTTTCTCACCACAGTTATGAGGCGTCATAAGAGAAAAAGGGTTTACAAAGTGTATGAGAGGAAAAGAAAGGCATTAGAAGAGGCTAATATTCCGCAGAGAGCTCTCCTCACAAAGCATTATGGGATTTGCTGTCACAGCGGCCCGCTGTTGCCATAGGCTGTCGCTTTCCAACAGATGCGACTAATAACAAAGATGGCGCAGCACCCCGCAGTGGACTAATGGGGAAGTGATCATCTGTCCGAACGGTAAGTTAACTGAGTTCGCTATGAAGTCCACTATATAGTTCCCGCTCTATACAGTGACTGAGGGATTTAGGGGTTAGGGCGTGCACAAGGAGAAATGGGCTTGTGCATGCTCTCCTATGCTCATTTTGTCGATACTGGAGAAGGTGGGTCTTTTAAAAAATTCCAGAAATTCTCCACAATACCTTTAAGTTTATTAAAGTTTTCTAGAAACACGTTCTCTGAACGAAAGTGTCATTCTGATTGCTGGGAACAGACAGCGTTTCTTTCTAGTTTTTTTTATTGACCCAAAAACAAATAGCCACCTGAGGGGTGTTTTATAAGATTCCGTAGAAATTCAAAATATATCCACTGGACTTGGTTTCCAAGATTTGAAGACATTTCGCCACCTCTCCAGGAAGCTGTCTCAATTCAAATGTCTGGATCCGCAGTGAGTTTGAGTCTTACATAGACAAAGCCTTGTATCGCTTGGAAACATGCAAATGGTAACCGATGAATGGGTCGTTTGGTTCCATCATTAGCCTGTAATATCTGAAACCTGTCTATGATTCTGAGGATTGGTCGTTAAAGGGGGGGATTGCCGTTAAGGGGGGATTTTCTCCTGTAATACCTGAAACCTGTCTATGATGTTAAGGGTCGGTTGTTAAGGAGGTATTGTTCACCGGCTGGAGCGGGTAGGTCCCTTGTTCCTCTGTGATTTGAATTTAGAAAGCTTCCTGGAGAGGTGGCGAAACGTCTTCAGATCTTGGAAACCATGTCCAGTGGATATATTTTGAATTTTTACGGAATGTATATGACCTGGATGACTGAAAATCTTCATCAGCATGTTTTATAATATGCACTCAAAAATTTTGGACTTAGACACCAATTTTGATTCAATTTAGTCACATCTTCTGGGTTTCTCCAACTGATGCCACTTCAGGTTCAGCTGATCAGTGTAGTAACTCACATTAACAGATCCAGCACAGAGTTTATTGAGAAACTATGGTGAAACATGAAAGCAAACAGTATTTAATTGGTAGAAAGTTATGAGGAGGTTCGAATTTTACTTTTTATAAAAAAATAAATATTATTACCATCAATAGAAACAGGGAAAAGGGAAAAGGCCATTGCTGAGAGATTAAAAGCATTTTACATTCAACCAGTAACTGCTGTATGAAATATAGTGCCTAAGTTAAGTCAGAATCAGGCGCTTAAGTCTGATTTTTCTGGGCGAGTTTTATGAAATACACTCAGGTAAAGATCATTGGGTCCATTGCCATAGTAACCAATTCAGACTTACAGCGAGTAATACGTTAAACCAGGGGTCTTCAACGTTTTCCAGGCTAAGGACCCAAAACTGATGGTGAGATGGAGCACGGACCCCCTAATTATATATATTCTATGAAATAGTGTCCTATCAAACTATAGTCACTCTATTACAGATGGAGTAATGTAACTAAAGTAATTTCTCCCTGGGATTATTAAAGTATTTCTGATTCCTGGTTGATGGGACAGGTGTTGTGAATGAAACGGTGCCCAGCTTGAAAGAGCTCCTGTGTGTCGCTGAATGTGTGCATTAATGACTGCAAGACATCTTCTGCTATTTATCTATTTATCTGTTTACTACAGTCTGTGGAATTCATGTTGATGTGGATTTAAAGACATTTTAATTTGTGGAAAAGAATGCAAAAAAAAGTTTGATCAACCAAAACTTTCACGACCCCCATGCAGTACCTCCGTGGACCACTTAGGGCTCGTGGACCCCCTGATGAAGACCTCCGCGTTAAACCCAAATAACAACAAACTAAGCCCCATTTGGCCAATCTATCCGACTTACAAACTAAGCCAGTTTTATGAAACTTGCTTTCGTTTCAAAGGCAAACATGCAAGAAAAAAATGTTTTTAACTTCTATATCTACAATAAATGCATCCAGCATAGTGAGTTCCTTTCCAATAAAACATCTGACCAACTTAATCTGTTACTTATGATCAAGCAAGACTCAAAAAATAATCACATGATAATTTTTTATGGTCCCTGAATAATTTTGACTTGAAGATTTTGGACCATGTGACATAAAGTTTGGTTGATCATTAATGCATTTTAGTCGTGGGTCCTCTCTTCTCCTCTGCTCAACCCACAGATTAACCATAGGTCTGAGGACTGAAAGGGAAAACTTCATTCTATATCTGATAAGCCTTTTTGTATTAATTTAGCCATGTGTTCTCCTAATCCCCCTGAAAATCCCTAAATGAACCTTTATTATTTTTCAGCCAAAGGTCACCAGATTTTTATCTTAAAACTTCTAGTATACTAAGGAGTTCATGAGATCAAAGTTTCCACTGTCCTCTGAATGAAAAAAAGCCCCTCCTGTAGTTTTACAGATCCTCCACTGTACTTATCAGTCTGGATAAGGGGCGATTCAACACATTGATAATTTATTTTAATGCTAAATCAACCTGAGGCCTATTACACAGAAACTGAATTCAGAAATCCCAGGAAAATGAATAAAGCCAGGCTGAGCTTGAGGAGGGCATCCTGGCTTCATTCGTTCCATAAAGGCCAAGCCGGGCGCCACAGGTGTGGCTTCCTCAAGTCATCAAGCTAAATGCAGGTCTGCAGAGACCATGAGGTTGATCATAGATTCATTATAACGTAAAATACACATTTTCTAACCACTTTTAACTAAAAAAATAATCATTTAAGGAGCCAGTTTTCATTTACTAACTTGAAAAGAACAGTACCATTATAGTAACATGTGCAGATCTTAATGTTTATGGATTTATTTACCTTTTTCTCATATCGTTTGGTCTCTGTGGTATAGGGGTTTAATTCTTAGCCACGCAACTGATAGAAGAATACTTCATAAATGTCATCCTGCATTAAAACATTATTAAACAGCAGAAATTATTTATCACCTTTTTGTTGTTACCGCTTACTTCCTTATGAAATATGAGAAATTTAGTATTAAGAAATGACTAGATTCCAGCGTTTGTCAAAGTTATAAGGGTTATAAGGTCTGCTGCTTTTCTTCCACTCTACACACGTGACCCATTATGTTCTTCAGTGGGACGTTAAGAGGGGCTGGCTGCCAGTCTTTAGAGGTGTAGATGTGTTACATCTTTATATTTCCTTCTGTTTGAGCTTATTTTTATCTCCTGGCTGGAACCTAAACTTTGACTACCAGTGTTTTGTTACCTGTGATTTGCTTCTCAAGCTGATCTGAGCTCCCAGAATACTTCCTTATACCATCATGAACCCTATGATCCCATTTCCTGAAACATTCCAGATTTAGTTGTGGTGTTTTTATTCACACTTTGTTTTAACTTCATGCGCCTACTATAGAGATATCCCAGTTTAAGATGGTTTATTTGCAAAGTTACAGATTTGTTAATGATTAGTGCTGTTTTTCTGGTCTCAGGACCTACACACCTGTATCCCATTCTCTTTGAAATTCCTCTATTTTCTTGCGTTTTTCTGAACTAAATTCTGAAATTAATACATTCCTATATTTAATCAGCTCAACATAATCCCTCAATTTAGTGGTTAGAACTGTTTCTTAATGTCATGTTCTTAATTCTTTACTTAAATGAATTAATTACTAAAAATATACGAGTACTCATGATATTTATTATTATATTGGTCACTAGATTCCACATAATCAATCAACTTGTTTTTTATAGTGCATAGTATATAAGTGTCAAGGTTTGGTTGAGGTTTGAAGGACCCAAATGCAGAGGCAGAGAGGCTGAGGAGATTTCTTGGAGTTTAATGGGGCAAAAACAGTAAACAAAGGCAGGAATGAATTGAGACATCTGGGGAAACCAAACACGAGGAGCCAGGGAGAGACGAGGTAGGTGGACGACAGCATGGGAGGACAGCAACAACAAGGAACCAACAAAGAGTGAGAGCAGAGGGAGAGCATATATAGCTGACAGAGACAAAGGCAGGGCTAACGAGCTGACAAGGAGACAACGAGGGAGCCAAGGAGAAAGGAACACACACACAAACACAAGAGGGCAACAGAGGACAACAGAAACATACATCTAGAAATTACAACAAAACTGGAATTAAACCAATAAACCTAGAAAACAAGGAGCAAAGTAAAGCACAATAGAAACAAGACCATGACAATAAGATATTTTACCACATTATTACTTTTATTTTCTTCTCCTCCATGATTTACGTAAATCTCCTCACAGAGACATTTAAATCCCTAAAATGTGAATTTTTATATATTTTCTATTCTGATAGGAAAGACATATGTTTATTAAGACCAACTTTGTATAAGTTTATTTTCAATTACAAGATATATTAAAGTGGGATTTTCTGCATTCTTTAAAATATACTTGTCCTCTTTATTACTTGAGTGCCTGTATTATTATTAATATTAATGTTATTATTAATATTATTGATGCTAAAGTTGTTTTTTACAAAAATATACAAAATTCTGCATCAGAGTCTTAGGTGGTTCATTATTGTGCATCTTTTCTCTGCCTGTATTTGTTCTTGTTTATCCTTAATGTCTATATCTTTATTTCCCATCTTAAAGCAGGCATTCCAAATCTGTTTACTTAAAACATCCTTTTAAACATTGTATCACATGCTGTTAAGAGCATGAATTACAGTTTTAATGTACTGAGTTCTGATGAATGAACCCTGTACATAAAAAAAAACTGTATATCTTGTGTCTAAATCTTATCTGTTTATTTACAGCTGATTTTTTTATAAAGGAGTAAATCGGAGGCGGTGGATTCTTCATGGAGTCTTTCAAAAGCACCAAGTGATTAGTTACGCTGAATTTAAAACCACAGTCAGATGATGCATCCTCTGAGGGTTTTGGTGATTTTAGATAAAACCAACAAAAAAACATGGAGACACATTTGTTTTTGACACCAAAGGTCCATACCTGTGTATCTGATAAAAAGGGTGTGGCCTGATTGAGCGGTCGTCAGCTGTTCCGACGAAGACCTGCAGCGACAGTGGCTTCCTCTCTGTATATCCACACAGCTGCACAGATTAAGATCAATAGCATCAGACTGGGACGAGATCAGCAGGCAGACACAGCATGTGACTTTAAGTCAGTATTATATAAACACAGCTAAAAAATAACTCCTGATTAAATCAAACAAAATCCAGTTTCCAATCCCTGCAGGTGAATAGAAGCTAGCTTTTGTGAATTTCATGTGTTGGACCTTGACAACGGGATGTCCTGTCGGTGCTGCTTTGACGGCACCTCTGCTGCCCTCCGTCTCATAGTGAGCTCGATGGTGTGGGCGGGGCTGCACCTCAATGCGCAGCTCGAACTGGTCAAACTGGGATGGTAGCGGCCAGTCCAGTGGAGGCAGAGCATTAGACCTAAGGGATAGCAGATAATATTGCAACAGGTGAGCAGAATACAAAAAAACAGCACACCAGGTTGCCAGTATTAGATATACAGCAAATAGAAACTGTTATATCTCAGTTAGGTTACCTGAAAGCCAAAAACTAAACCAAGTTCAATTCAATTCAATTCAATTTATTTATATAGCTCAAATTCACAACACATGTCATCTCAAGGCACTTTACAGTTCTCCAGATTATCCAGTCAAATTGATTCAAAGTTTTCTATCTAAGGAAAACCAGTTGGTTGCATCGACTCAAGGCAATCCCTCACACTAAGCATGCTTGTAGCAACAGTGGAGAGGAAAACTCCCTTTTAACAGGAAGAAACCTCCAGCAGAACCAGGCTCAGTGTGAGTGGCCATCTGCTGAGGCCGACTGGGGTTCAAGGAGACAGAAGCAGAGATACAAAAAGCAACTGTTGAAAAGTTTAAGTTTTTAATATCTGTTCATTTATACTCATTGACATTAGGGCTGGAAAGTTATTCAGTATCGATCCGTATTGTTAAATAACAATGATATGGCAGTTGAAGACATTTCCAGTATTTTTATGTATGCTTCAGTCTGTGTTTAAGTAATTTATTGCTTAATGAACAGTAAGAGCTGCAGCAAATTGGCTACAAGATTAATTCCATCACAGACAGGAAGCTGTGCTCTGCAGCTGTTAGCTGTGCTACTAAGACACTTAGCTACAAGATGGTTAGTTTTAGCTATAACCTGAGCGCCCATGATAATGTAACCAAACCTGTAGCCAGCAGAACAATTCCCCCAAAAATATCTCCAACTTCAGCTTTTGGTGAATGAGGAAAAGATTGCTCCGTGCAGACTGTGAAGGAGGCACGTTGCTCGTAAGGCAACAGCTGGCGGCATAGCTTCAAGTTAAATTAAAAGGGGAGCCGAGCGCAGACTTTAAATAAGGCAGCTCCCTCCTGTCACATTATGGAACGGGTGAAAGAATTCATTTTGTTTTAACTGAGCTGATCCTTACTATGATAACAATTGAACTTTATTGATCTAACAGTCGAGAAATTTACCTCTGCATTTAACCCATCCACTTGGGGAGCAGTGGGCTGCCATTGTGGGGCGCCCAGGGAGCAGTGTGGGGTTAAGGGACCCAGAGTGGCAGTGGGGCTCAAACTCAGAATCCCAGGATTCCAAGCTCTATGCCGTAACCAGTAGGCCGCCACTCTCCCCTAAGATTAAGTGTTGTTTCCTGTTGTTAAAGTTCAATGTGCCCAGGTAACAAAACAAGAGGACTGTAATCTGTTTTGTTTTTTTACTAAAGAGGATAAGGCTTTTATTAAAAAACAGAACACATTAAGTCAAGACTAGAACTGGGGGGTGATCCTGATCGTGATAGGATGGTTTATAAAGCTCTGCCTATAGTGTCATTAAGGGTTTAATGAAAAGCTTGGT